TTTGCTTCTGCCTTCTGTCCTTTCTCCTTTCTTTTACTCCAAGGTGGATATATGCCTTGTTCTTAAATTTCAGGTAATTGGAAACATTGATAAAATCTGTAAATGGGAAATGATAATAATAACTGCTTCTAAAAAGTGGTAGTAAAATTAATTTTACATGGATGTTATGGTTTAGATTAGCTGAAACTCAGTGGTGTTTTTGAATGTGTACTTCTCTGGGCTTATATAAAAATGTTTCATTACCAAATGAAGTTTTATTACCCAATAATATAGAAGATTATAAAGATTTATAAAGTCTTATTTTGTAAAGTTTATTTTTCTGAAACATAAGAAAAGGAGGTCCAGTAAACTTGGTGAATTGGTTGTTTAACATATAAAAAGAGGATATATATATGATTATATAAATAATAATATATATTATTTATATATATAAAAATATATAGTTATATATGATTAATATAAATCAGTTATATATGATTAATATAAGACTACCTACCTTTCTGTCACCTACAGGCAGGGCTTTTTTTACCTTTTTTATTTGAATCAAAGCTAAAACTGCACAGATTTTTATTCCTTTTCCCCTCCCTGTCTCCTCAGAATATTTAGGCCAAGTGATTTGAAATTTCTTTCATATTGATAACATGAATAACTACTGGCTGCTTCAAGCGTGTCCTTATATATCTCCCTGTTATGTTGAAAAGTTTTATGAGATCCCTAAACTTTTGATCATTATCTCCATACAACCTGATAGTCTCTTGTTAAATGGAATGAATTAATTCATGTGCCAGATTAATTGTAGTCAGTTTGGTACATCCTCTCACGCTGTCATCCCCTCACTTGGGAAACGTCATGGAAAATGCCTTCTGAAATGCTAAATCCTTATTAGACAATTAGCCTGCATGCTTAAGAAAACAACATCCACCAATATGGCTTCTATATTATTCTGATATTATTGATCTGAACTGTTTAATTAATGCTTGTGAATTCATTAACAGAAATAAATTCTTTTCAAACCATACCAAAATTTATTGAATTTTTCATCTGAGAAATTCTGATGAGTGTGAAATTTAGAAGGAAGATACTGTGGTTTGCATAGCAGAGTAGCTGGGGTTGGGGATAAATGCTAATAACTAGAAGAAGGATAGTTACTTACTGAAGCATCTTCCTATTTTGGGAGGCTAAAATTTCATGAAGAAAAAAAAATACTATACAATTGCAGATTAGCGAAATTCATATAATATTGTGTGTTGTTCTCTCTTCTGTGAGTTATTTTACATTAAGCAGAGCAAATGTTTTGTATCTTTAAGTGTTTTGGTCTGAATGAACCATACTTGATACTAAAACCTGTACTTAATAATACTCTAACACCTGTAAATCTTTACAATGTTCCTCACAGGATTTCTTTTAAGAAATTATTCCATTTTTCTACAGTTGTGTAATGGCTTATGTATATTCCAATGAGAGAGAGATGATAAAGCACTGGAAGTAATTTAAAGTTAGCCTATTTTGAAAGCTCACCCCTTTTTCATTGGAAAGCTAGGCAGATAAGCTAAACTACTCCTAGACCTGCTATAGTCTAGCTCAGTTCTGTTATTTACTGTATGTACATTTAGAAAAAGATATTTCCAGAAATGACTGAGTTGCCTTAGAGCTCAATTCTAATCTATGCCAAATATGTTAAGTCCACTGGGAAAATGTTTTTCAGCTATGGAGTGTTAGAATCATGGATTTTGTGGGTTTTTTTCATATAGGCAAGAACCTAATCACAGGACTGTATGCATAGATGGCCTTTAGGCAGGACTGTTGTTGCACATTTGTCTGATACAGCGTGTGGTTTTGCATTTGCATTTTGGGGTATTATAAGCATTTTTGATGTGTATTCGAGTCACTCACTGGCTTCTAACTAACTTTCAGCATAATTTGAAAGCTTTTGGATGCGCAGTGTCTGAACTCTGGTTGTATAAATGTTGCTGCTTCCCTGGAATATAGGTCACAGAGCATGTGAGAGGAGAGGATAAAGCACTTCCAGCTGAAGAAGTCTGGCTGTAGAACAACCTTATAGAACAACCACCCAATTTTTTTTCTTTTCTTTGCTGAGCACCTTAATCAGTGGCAGTCAGGGTGACTAATATAATAAATGGACATGCAGGCCAAGTCATATGTTACTTTGATATCTCTTGTCTTTCCTGGCCAGAAAATACAAGGCAGTTTGGAACACTTGGTTTGGAGGACACTGGAGTAAATGATAATCTGTCCATCTGTAGAAAATACTGAAATGTTTGAACATCTTTGAGAAAAAGACCTTCAGGAAAAATGAAACACATAATTTTAACCTTATTTATTAATCCATGTCTCTACCCAGGCATAATTCTGAGCCTATAAATGGAAAAAATACAGCATTAGGGATTTAGTTATTTCTCGTGTCTTGGTGGACCAGTATCACTCAGGCAGCAGTTTAAAAATATAAGATAGCTGTAAACTCAAGAAGCATTTTTGGTGGTATATACACAAAATCCACAGACAAAGTAAATAAAAGAAGCTTTATGCAATACAGTGATATTTTGTGTGTCATTCCATAAACCTTAACTTAAATGGGATTATAATTGTTTTTCTGTTTTCCTTTTTCACTTGGTTATTCCTCTTTGTATGTAATTCAGTGAAATAGTTAAGACATGTTTCGTTAATGAACAAAATAACAAAGCAATTTCATGTTGTTAAAGTCAGTCAATTTAGTGATTAATGTATTTGTTATGCTTGCAGATAAAAAATATGTTTCGATAGTGTAAACTAATGACTGGTTTACTTGGACGCTGATACAAATTTCTGTGCCATTGTGGTTTTGTAGTTTGTAAACAGTGAATGAAGTGTCAGTGACTTCATTACTGGGGAAAAACAAAAAGTTTGTAGGGTCAGTGAAACAGTGTATGATTTGCCAAAGTAGAAGAGAGTGGCTGAAATTATGTGATGAGACAAGATAGTTAGTCTATGTCCGGGTTGATTATTTCCATGTTATGCCCATCTTGAGCCTTATGGAGGCATTTTTTTTCAGTCACTGCTATTTTGTGTTCAATAAGTGAGAGTTTTATTGATTTCACAGAACTTCTTTCTCAAGTAAGGTGTTCTGGGTTAGAAGCTCAGCATGGATACCCTCTTGCCAAGTTTCCATTTGTAATAATAGTGACTTGCGCAAGATCAGTCAAATTTTGCAGTCTGTGTTGTTGATCCCTAGTAGACGGTGATACACGTTGAAACCATTACGCTGGGGTAGTTAGGTCTTGGCCTTAATGGAAAACACCTTATTTCACATGGACATAACATTTCTACATCTTACAAATTAATAATTAAAAAAAAAAAGAGGCAGAGGGAGAGAAATCCCTGCTCTAAAGTGTTGAAATGATATTAAAGTCATTGTAAAAATTATTTATACTGTGACTCAGATTCCAAAGTCACTGAGGCAATTTGAAAATTTAGTTTCAATTTGCTTTTTCTGGTTTTTGAAGTTGATTTCTTGGTAGTCTTTTCCCTGCTAATGCTGCATTCACTGTACTGAAGGAGTTGCACTGGAGTTTTCTGTGGAGAAGTGGAATTTTCCTGAAGCGTGGCGAAATTTCTCCTAAGTCGATTTTGTGGTATCACGTGGCTTTGTGCCTTTATTATTTAATGATGAAAAGTTGCTGTCCTGTTTGATCTAGAAACAAGGACAGCGAGACTATGTTTTACAGATTAATGAGTGGTAAGCTGTTTTAAAATCACATACATAATTGAATAGCATGATTGATAAGTATGCAGTTGTGTCACAGTTATTTTTGAGATAAAACTGAAATTGTCTTAAACTCTCTCTATATGTTTCAGGACACATCTATTTTTAGTGGTTCTATATTAGCAGGATAAAATGGGATCAAAATGCTTTGCATTGCTGTAATCTCATTGCAGTCTACACCTTCCTCAAGGCGGGGCAGCAGAAGGGGAGGTGCTGATCTCCTCTCTCTGGTGACCAGCGATGGGACACAAGGCAATGGCATGAGGCTGCATCAGGGGAAGTTCAGATTGGACACTAGGAAAAGGTTCTTCACTGAGAGGGTGGTCAGTTGCTGGAACGGGGTTCCCAGGGAAGTGGTCACGGCACCAAGCCTGCCAGAATTCAAGGAGCGTCTGGATGATGCTCTTAGTTGTATGGCTTATTTTTAAGTAGTCCTACGAGGAGCAGGGGTTAGGACTCAGTGATACTTATGGGTCCCTTCCAACTTGAGATATTCTACGATTCATTTTATTGCTTAAAACAGACTGCTGTTTTACCAGGAGAAATCATCAGTGAAGTTTCAATAATAATCTCTTACCTTGCTGGCAAGAGCAAAACCAGATTAAGCTAAATGATAAATGTTTCACATCAACAACTTTTTTTTTTTTTTCTCCCTGTAAGCAAAGTTGTGTGTGTCAGCACTCTCATTTGACTGTTGGAACCTGTTTGACAGGGTGATTATTTTCTCTTTGACAAATACCAGCAAAATGTGTGGCCACATAGAAGAAGACAGGGGGCCTTCAATTCCCTGAATTAGGCATCCAAAAATCCCCTGCTTGTTGTTTGCCGAATTATGTCAAAAACTAAGATTTGCTTGGTACATACCTGTGAGTTCTGTAGGTGCCTTTGGTTGCAGTTTTGTATGTGCTGCTAAGCCATATTCTAAGCAAGAAACTAGAGAGCGTGGAACTTAGTTTCATGGTCCTGATACAAATGTTCTGAATTTACTCTGGGCTATCTTACACTGTGCTCTGGGCTACTGTAGCACTACTGTGAGTTTTCCAAGTAATACTTAATTCAGTAATCTGTCACTTTCAAGGATAGGTATGCCAGCCTATGTCTTCAGAAATCAGTATTTTCAAAGACAGTCTAAAATTTTTGGTAACAGAGTATTATTTTATGGACTAGTATGAAAGCTTTTGCAAAATAAACAATTCAAAATACTTTTTTTCATTTTTCTTTTTTTTTTTTTCCATTCTAGACAATTGATTTAGAGGGGTTCAAGCTGTTCATGAAGACTTTTCTGGAGGCAGAGTTACCAGATGATTTCATTGAGCATCTTTTTACATCATTTAGCAACAAAATCTCTCACTGCAGCCCTTTAATAAAAAACAAACCCCAACATCTTTCTGGAGGTAAGTAATGAAATCACAGTAATAATGAGCTGAAGGTTCCCTCCCCCTGCTGTTTTACTTCCAATAGCTATAAATGTATGGAATTCTGAACTATATGTGTTTCTTTTTTGTTCTGAGATTTGTGAAATTCAAGAAACTAAATCATGAACAAGAAATATGATGAAAAGAACTGGAAATTAAATGGTTTTGTCTTTTTAATTCACAATACTGATGCAGCTGAGACACCAAGTGGACAGTCTTTGTCACATTAATGCTAATCAGATTGCTATGGCTACATGATCTTGCTGCTATTCTACTGTATGAACACCTAGAAACCTTCAGAGCATCACACAGGAGGCTCCTGCTGGTGCTCTGCAGTTTCTGTGCCCAGTTACTGCTGCTGCTTTTAGTTATCTAGGTGTGATACTGCTATTAGTAATCCTACATACTTATCAGCTACTGATAGTTTAAATGTCCTACAAGTTTTAACGGTATTTCTTTTTCCAATGTAAGGATCTTCTTTAATGCAGTTTGAAATTTTCATGCTACACTCAACGTTTTTATTAAAAGTGATTTTGAGTTTAGAGGACATAGTGTGTTAAAATACTTCCATGCAAAATAGTGTTAAAAACAGTCTACTGAGAAAATTTTATAAAACTTTTAAAGCAAACTTGCAGAAGAAATTTAAGATTACCTTTCTAACTTGAAATATTTGTTTTAGCACTTCAGCAATTTGGGAACTCTATCAAAAACCAGTAGCTAAAAGCAGAAGCTAGACTAATTTAATGAAATAAATTGCATGTTTTGAACAGCTGGGATAATCAAGCACTTAGAGCAAGTTAACAAATGGTTTGATGGGTACTTAATCGGTTGAATTCCTTATTTGAAGATTAGGTGTCTTCAAATTGCAACACACCAGAAGCTGTGAATTTGGTACAAATGCTACTAGTTGAAATGTTAGCTTTTCGTGCAGACACCAAGCACTAGATTTCCATAGATGCCTCGGTGTACAGTAGTAATTATAGTCTTTTACATATTATCCATTGAGTCTGACCTGTTTTTCCTTTTTCATGCATGCTGTTCTCAACTATGTTAAATAGATGAGTTTCAGTTATTTTTCTTTATTTAAGTTTACAATAACTGTTATTTCCACTTCTTAGCTTTGTATTTCCTGAAAAAATACCTAAACAAACAAAAAACAACATATTACATTATCATCTTCTATTATATTGTGAAGTGTATATATGTAATGGTCACTAACTGTAATTAGACTTCACTGAAAAGACTTTTTTCTGCTAGCAAAGCTTGCTGACCACTTCGAGGGTGTGATTCTTCATATAATTTTTTTTCCATTTGAATTGAATTCTTCAGGGTTGGGGTTTTTTTTATGCTTTTTAACCAGAACTTTCGTGGACACATCTCCTTCCATGAATACCTACTGTGTAGACAATACATTTCCAACTTCTCGGGCTTTTGTTGTTAGTTATCTAGACTGGTTCCATGTGCAGAGCGGTAGGCTTAGTAGACTATGATGTAATCAGTTGTGTGTAGTATTCAAATCTTGTTGCTAGTTACAGCTCTGATAATGGCTTTCTCACAGGTTTGGGCAAGTATTTTGGACCAGTGATTCAGTCCCTTTCCCTTAAAGATGCTTTGCAACAGAATCTCTAAGGGCATATCTAAGCATATTCGTTATTGTATGCTACAGCGTATATTTTGGATTTCTTAAATTTTCAGCATTACACTTTTTCAACTATGAATATAGATTCTGTTGCCTATAAAGTCTCAGCAGCACAATTTCATTTCTACTTTCATTACTTTTAATTTTTCATTGAAGTTTTCAACATGTTTTTGTCAATGAGTAGCGTCAACAATAAACATGCACTGTACCAGCCACCAAAATTTGTAATCTTTTACTCTTACCAATTTTTGCCTGATAACTCCAATAGCAACTGCCATTTAGTGGTGCATATTTATTTATTATGGTGTAGTTTGACATATGTGTCTGAGTACTATTATTTCAAAAAATCATCTTTTATCATTCTGGTGTTGTATTTCTATGGTTCGATACTTCGTATGTAGAAATGGTAACAGCTGGTTTTAGGTCATTGTCAGATTTATAGCTAAATTCTGCCCAGTATAGGCTGTGCTCAGCTTTACTCACTTTCACTATTTTTCTCTCTGACAGATATTATTCTTACGTTTGTTAAAATAATAATCATACAAAATAGTTGTTGCTTAAACTGTAGAAGTTTATTACTCTACAGCTACCTCCTAAATTTTTTTCTCCTTCGCTCGCTTTTCCCAGTTTGTCACTAATTTTCATCTTTTTCTGTTAGTAAGGACTTCACAAATAATGTAACATGAGACCAGTTTAGTAGTCTTCTGTATGTATGTGGTGTAATACCAGAAGGACTGTTTCATAAATTGTTATATCCAAAGCGTCTTCAGAGAGATAATTCAATTTACTTCATGGAAGAGTTATTGATTATTTGTGCCTGAAAATGTGCTGTTCGTATTGTAATTCAATTGCATGAGATTTAAACTAGATGTTACATCTTTATAATTTGTAGCTTTTACAAGGAAAAAGTATGCATTGGTACATTTTAATGTACAAATGAAATTTATGGAAGCCTTCATTTTAGGATAACTAGTAATTTTTAAATGTTGCCAATAAAGAAAAAAAAAAAAAACCTGACTATACTGGGAAATAAATTTGTCAGAAACATTTAACATTCTTCTGGAATATGGAAAAGTACACAAGAGCTAGAGAACATCACAAGGAAAATAGCAGGGTTCATAAATCTCTGTGATATGTGTCTGTCTCTTGGTCCACTCATGTCTGTTTATAAATTGCATTTTCAGTTAAAGTGTCTGAAGAGAGATGGAAACAGATGCCAGGTAAGAAGCAGCACTGTAAGTCAGCACACTGCAGCCACCCCTCTCCCACCTCTGATTAAAAAGTAGTACTTTAACCTGTACCTTGTAACTGATGATAAGCTAAAAGATATCTTAAAATTTCTATGCAATTTCATTTGGATTTCAGTGGAATTCAGGACTATACATTTTTGAGATGTGTTAGGCCAAGTTTTATAATACCTGTTGTTCTGTGCATAGGTTCACTATGTGAACTATTTGTGTAAATAGTGTGATTAAAGCTGGCATCTTAATCTATTAACATTTTATACTGTCTTAATTTTAAGGGCACTTACTGATATGCAAGCTTATTTAGTAGAACATTGTCCTGTTAAATCTTTTTATTCATTAAAGTACTTACTTTCAGTGTTTGTTATCTGCCTGAAACCATGGACATGAACTTGATTTAAAGATACATTTTCCACATGCCAATTAGCTCATATTTACTGAAAAATGTTTGGGGTTTTTTTGAAGTATGTACCTCAGTAGACTTTTGAAAATGTCTTCAGATTGTAATGAAGTTTTTCAACATAAAAATAGGGGAGGGGGGAACTCACCAGGATTCTGTTTCCATTTGCTTTGTTTATTAACTTGTCCAAGACAAATGCATGAGAGAAATTATGTATGCAAGTTACATATGCAATGACAAATCTGTTCTGAATTAATTATAGAAAATATTTAAGGACAGTAAATCCTTTTGGAAAGATTCATCTTTAACATCATTAAGATTAGTGGGAAATGTACCAAACTTGTGAAGAAAGTCGTTTCATTGCTTTCTCTGTGTACTCATGTCCTTCCTGTTTTTTTCCTCTATTTATTTGTTCCTGAAGATTTCAGTAATATCATCAGGACTGGTCATATTAATGTTCTCTTGAAACCAAAAGTTTGGCAATTTTGAAACTTGTATTCCAGGTGGTACACTGGAACTGCTTTTGATCACAATGTTTGAGCAGTTATTACGACTATTATTTAATTTCTATGTTTATTTTCATAGTATTCTGTGCCCAGGTCTTCTGTGTTTTAAATATGTGTTGCTATGACACACATCTGGCTGTGCTTTTGGGAAGAGTGCACAATTGGGTATTATCAGAGCTTTCTGTAATACTAAAGTATCTGAAATTGGTGTAGCTAGTGTTGATCTATAAGTTAGATAAAGCTTCTACAAGCACAAGGAAGTGGATGCAGCATTGGGAAGGGATTAGCTTTAATACCTAAATTAAAATGTGATGTAGCTGAATAAAATTTGTCACCAAATTGTTTTGTAGTCAAATGACATTAGATCAACACAAATGAAAAAAAGAGTTGTGCCATTCCCATAACTGAATTTTTTTTTTAACAATAATTTGCTTCATTGGTATAATATTTTAAAACCTCCATGTCATTTTAATTCTGCCTTTGCTGGACAAGCTATGAACACAAATTGTTTAAAACTTCACATTTATGTTTAAATTAAGAAGCCATCTGAGATTCAGATAAAACAAAGATGCATGTATGCAAGAGTTCTGTTTTTAATTTTTTGCTTATATAATACATTAAGAGTAACAAAGTCTATGTGTTATTTCCAGGTCTGAGACTTAACAAAGGTACCTCCACATCCCGGCCTCCTACTCCTGCCAACTTACATTTACCAGACGTGATCCAGCTGAAAGATATTGTTTGCTATTTGTCACTGCTAGAAAGAGGAAGACCTGAAGACAAGCTAGAATGTATGTTCTTTTATTTTGAGTTAATTTTGTTTTTAAATTTATTTTCAGGGTAATAAAAAAATATTAAAAAGTCTATTTCTAAATTTTCTGAGTTTAAGACTCAGTTTTGAGTAGCTGCATTGTAAAAACATGATTCTGTGTGATTGTTACTGCAGGAATGGTCTTATTCTTCATAATATATTACTTTGATGATATTTTATCTCAGTTCTATCTAGCACATGCTAAGATGGGGAATAAGGATCATACATTCCACAGTTAAAATAATCCTTTCTATATTATTGTCTATTGACTGATACCAGAGCTGTAAAAAAATTAAGTATACGGAGGATGCTTAGAAATATATAGAAATGGTGAATAATCTGTAGAAAAAAAGCTAATGCAAGCAAAGAATATTTGTTAATATAGTCCATGGACTCGCTAATATTAGTGATAGAAAAGCCAAGAATGAGCTAAATCTCCACTGCTGTTGGGAATGAAGGTTTGACACTGGAAGTTAGAAATGACTTGATATTTTTTGTAAGTAGGGGCCTGATTCATCGAAGCCCAACACCTCTACCTGTTAAAAAAAGAACTAAGATTTTGATCTGTGAATTGGAGAAAAAAAAGAAAGAAATTATATGTTTCCCCATTATGGAGTTTTAGAAGCCAGTTTTCCAGATGGATAAACAGTCAATCCAATCACATAGTCCATTACTGGCACCAAATATACTTTGATATACATAGTTGATCTGTCTATAGAAGAACTATGGGATCAGGTTCTAATACTGTATGGAAAGTAAATACTCAATATAATGGGGAATGCAAACAGTAGACTTCGTCTGGTGGAATAAGAAATTCATTACAAGGTTACATGACCGCATGTTATTGAAATATCTTGATGTTTCATTGCCTGTAGTTAGCTTACTAACCAACATCCTTCTGGACAAGTAGTCCAGCTGTGGGTTGAGCGGGTTTGTGGTGCACTGGGTGAAGAACTGACTGAAGGGCAGAGCTCAAAGGGTTGTAGTGAATGGGGCTACATCTGGCTGGTGACTGCTCACCAGTGGTGTTGCTCAGGGTTCAGTTCTAGGGCCAGTTCTGTTCAATATATTTATCCATGGTCTGGATGTGGGAGTTGAATGCACCATTAGCAAGTTTGCTGATGATACCAAACTGGGAGGTGCTATTGACTCTCTTGAGGGACAATATGCCTTTAAGAAGGATTTAGATAGATTGGAGTGTTTGAGCAAAAAACAACCCATAACTGTTGCAATGAATAGTATTTAACTGCTAGAGACAATATCCCTGAGTAACATTTCTACCTATGGCCATTGGTATTTTTAAAGTGAAGAATGGTACGGAGGGAGAATGGTGAATACAGAGGCCTTAGCACTGGTTTGTACATATAGCACACGATAATCTAATGCTTAAAAAAAACCAAAACAAACCCCCAAAAAACAAAGGAAGAAAATTCCAATTTCCAAGAAGGGCATGAGGGAAGACCCAGGAAGCCACAGACCTGTTCTTAGCATTGGTGCAGCCTCACCTTGAGTACTGTGTGCAGTTCTGGGCACCACGATTTAAGCAGAATGTGAAAGTCCTGGAATGCCTCCAGAGGAGGGCAACTAAGCTGGTGAAAGGGCTTGAAGGAATGTCCTATAAGGAGCAGCTGAGGACTTTGGGCTTGTGTAGTTTGGAGAAAAGGAGGCTGAGGGGTGATCTCTTTGCTCTCTGCAGCTTCCTGAGGAGAGGACGTGGAGAGGGAGGTGCTGAGCTCTTCTCCCTGGTACCCAGTGATAGGATCCATGGGAACGGTTCAAAGCTGCGCCAGTGGAGGGTTAGACTGGACATTAGGAAGCATTTCTTTACCAAGAAGGTGGAATAGGCTGGAACACTGGATCAGGCTTCCTAGAGAGGTGGTCGATGCCTCAAGCCTGTCAGTGTTTAAGAGTCGTTTGGACAATGCTCTTAATAACATGCTTTAACTTTTGGTCAACCCTGATATGGTCAGGCAGTTGGACAGGATGATCAATGTTGGCCCCTTCCAGCTGAAAATATTCTATAACAACTTTGTACTGTAAGATCACTGAAAGCTTTGCCTTAGAAAGTATTTTAAGGAGCCATCCCCAAATTTGGTAAATACCAGTTTGGTATCATGTGATTAGAATATGAGGTTATATGAGTGAGCGTGCATTCAGAACACAAGCAAAGGAAAACTGAGATCCTAGGGTTGAATTCAGCTTAAAATATAGTAACTGTTTCGTTGTAGCAAGCTACGCAAGCCTTATCAGAGCTCTAAAGTGCTCTATGCACAAACCATAGCATGAAATGGAGGTGGGTTGCCTCCCCTGGTGCCAGGAATTGGTACAACGAAAAGGGGGAGAGAAGCAGGTGATGATTTTAGTGTAGGGGATGTTCCATGAACTTCCTGCAACAGGACCTGCATAAGCAAAATACTGTGAATGATCTGTATGATTTAGGAGTGAGAGTCTGATCAAATAAATGTACTGTATTTACATGTTTTGTGTATTAACGATCATTTGAATTTACTGCATATTATTAAGGACATGGTTATTATATAGGTTTATTTTCTACTTTGTCATACATTGTTGAAATATACCACATACTGTCACTTTTTAGTGTCTAAGTTTTGGATTATGCTGTATTATTAATACGCAGAATTGTCTGTTGATTTTAGTTGAATTCTTATAATTTAATGGTATAATTTAACAGTTGGTCTGAAATAATTTGTAACAGTAGGTCCTGTGGGTGTAAGGTAAAATATGTATTAGCAGCAGAGGACTGAAAAATGAAAGGATAGCTTATTCTGGACTTGCTAGCATTAATATGAATATTAATCTCAATTCATCATTTTTTTTCTGTTGACAAATAATGGAAACACTCTGAATCATAGCTGAGTTTGGAAACTAGATTCAGGACAAGCACAATCTGGAAACGGTACTTTCAAATAAGATATGATAGAAGATGGATAATTTTTTTAAGATAAAATACACTAAAAGGAAATACGTGTTTAAGTTTTGGATCTGTATGATCTATAGGTTTTCACAGATTTACGGATATTTCAGGAGAAGAATGAATTCACTAGCCTATTAGCAGTGTATTCTGAGAGGTCTTAAGTGCTATGAATCTCACCTGTTTGACATGCGCAGCATATCTATTATTCATAAACTACATATGGCCTGATTAGAAAGAATATCCCAAACTTTCCTAGCAGAGATAAATCGGAAAAAATTTAGTTCTCTTTTTAAGGTCATATTTCACATAGTTCAGGGTGCATTTGTATTGTTAAGTACCTTCATACCCTGTGGCTCAACCTGTAGACTTGATCTATTTTCTGCTCTCCATGTTCTTTTCACATGTACCAAGCTTTGCTTGCTAGTGTCCGTACAATGATTCTTGAATGTGTAAGAAAGACCCCTTGTAAATATGCAGGGTAATTCCTAAGAACTGAATAGTGGTGTTCTGCAGCTCAACTCTTCTTCCTTTAATGACCCCAACCGCGGAAGTTATTTTAGCTCACATCTACATGAGGCATTATCAGCATAGCCTGTTCCTCAATTTGTACATGCTTTTTATTGGTATAACTATGGACGCCAGGCCTGTATCTCTTGTGAAACTGTGCAGAGAAATGCCAGGGACAGTATGAAGGGTATTCTACTGTACCAGTAGAAGCTTCAAGAATGCCACACCATTCTTTTGTATTTTTGCAGTGATATGATTAGTTACCGTCTTTTTTTTTTTTTTTTGGCTATACTATGAGTTGGATGCTGAGGCTTCTGAGGGGAGTGACAAGCGTTACAGTTTTCAAAGTACATGAGCTGGTGAGAATGGAAAGTATGTTCAGCACTTGTTTGTGTTTGTGCTTTTGAGAATGAATTCCTCAATTTCTTCGCAAAAGGCCATAATTTTGAACTTTTGGAATTTCTGGGATGCCAGCTTTTGTCACATGTGAGATTAGAAGTCCAGCAGTTGCAGGTGAAAGTATAGCAGTGCAGCAACTGATCTCATCTTGGTAAATTTTTTTTAATACATTTTTAATTATTTACAAAAGGTATGCAGTCTAGTAACAGAATTCGAGTGGCCAGTCAGTGCTATCAGGTAAGGGAATAAGGAAAGAAATGTAAAAGATTGACATGGGCTCTGTAGTTTGCATCAGAACTTTTGTTCAGTTTTTTTGTCATTTTGTCGCTGTTTTTTCTCCTAGAGTGTGTAAATCAGCAAGAACATGAATATTTAGCAGGGTATGAATAGAAAACAGGTCGCATGCCACACCAGTAGCTTAGTTTTTCAAAGTCTAGCCAAGAGCACAGATTGAGCCTTTTCACTACCGAATACTTGTGTAATTGGAGAGACTTTGTTTGCTACAAAGGTGAAACAGTTAGAATTATGCTAATGTCTGTTTTTAAATGACTGGTTAGAACTACTGATTCATGCAAAAGGAAAAAAAAGTTGTAAGCACTACTTCTCTGGAGTGGGTAAAGATCAGGGAGATGCTAAAACTTGCTTTCATCATAACTGTAGAACATTCTTTCAACCAGTGCATTACAATCACAGAGGAGGAGGAAGGAGAACCAAATGATTTGAACTTTTATCACTGAGTGATTCAGCGATTCGTCCCTATGGAAACTAGGAATGCTTAATGGTACTTTTGCCGGATAATATTAGCTGTCATGCTCTGAGCAGCTTTAGTAGAAGGCGTACTAGCAGGGAGTGTACCAGTCTCTGGTGGCTTTTAGCATTAACTGTTGTTTTACGCTGAAATGTTTCTGCTGTCTAACTCACGGATGAAAAAAGATATTTTTATAGGTTTTCTTAGCCTATAATTGATGAATAATGGCCCTTTGTAGCTTGAAACAATGTACTGCAGTAAATATCTTCAATCTTTTATTACAGCTCTTAAGAGCGGTGCAATGTAGTAGCAAAAATTGCTGAAGTGGTAGAGAGGTATAGTACTTACCTTTTTCCCCACAGTTAGGTGAACAACTTAGGAAATAGATGACGGATATAAGGGAAGTGAACCAATTCATATAATAGTTAAATATGTTTTGGCTATAAGTCAAAAATAATCAAATTCTTTCTGAACTTTACTTTGTAATTGCTAAGAATTTAATCTCACTTCTCATTATATTGTTTCCTGAGAACTGTTATAAGCTTTGCTTGCAAAATTTATTGGACAGTAACAACATTTGCTGTGGATTTAATGTGGTGGGATTGTTCAGTGTTGAACAGGTCATATGTTGTGTTTCCAAAGACGTCTGATAAGGCAGTTTGTAAGCATATTGCTTGGTTTTTGCTGTAAGTCAAGGCATTACATTGTCCTGGCACCACTGTGCATGGCTCTCTTCTTACTCCTAGAAAATAAATCTAGGAGGGGGAAATGAGCACTTTTGAAGGGGTTGGTATTTAGATTTCAGAGCTCTGACAAACTGTCAGAGAAATTAGGGACAAAGAGTGAGGTATTCATATGCTTCTGGTTTTCATCTTTAGCCTTGTAACAGTATTCCTACCAAAGCTTCAGGCTTCTTTCTGCTCTGCAGTCTGATGCGGTGTACGATTAGCTGAGTAACCTGCTTTGAAAGATCTTGGTAATGGTGGACATGCTCGCTCTTGTGGCTGACATCAAGTTATGATACAAACTTCAATGTATATATTCTCTCTGGATATTGTTAAAATGCAGTTGTTATTGTCTGGGTGGCTTCCCAGAACGTTGGGAATACATTTTCAAATTGATGAAGCAAGTCTGGTCCTGGGAGGAGTCATGCTGGTAGTCTGTGAGGAATGTTTATTGTTTGATATGGCTGATTAGAGACTTGAAATAATAATCCTCTGTTTCATTTAGTTGTTCAGAAAACATTTCTAAAGCAGTATCACCATTGAATAGTGATAGCTGCAACCAAGGGAGTAGGATAGTGTTATAACTTAATCAGGTTATCAACATTTGCCTGACCAATTGTGTGTTATCCTGTGTTTGGTGAGATGACAGAAAAGGGCCTCCTCACCACAAATACAGATAATCTCTGGGAGGAACCAGAATTGAGTTCACAGACCAGATTAGCTGTTGGAGTGATTATGTGGAAAATGTGCAGTTCCACTGTCCTGCTAATATGTGTCGTTGGAAGCACTGTGGCAGGGTAACTGCTGAATGAACCTCTCGCATAATATGAAGTTTTTGGGGGATCTACAGTTAGTGTGATCATTAAAGAAAAATGTTAAAGCTTGTCCTTTCTTTGAAAGTAAGGCTTGGTTGTTTTGTGTTTTGGTTTGGATTTTGGTTTTTTTTATGAAATAATGATCTTACTATGTTTTCTAACTGAGTTTCCTTCTCTTTTTGTTTTCTTTTTAGTTATGTTTCGCTTATATGATACAGATGGGAATGGATACCTGGATAGTTCGGTAATGTTATTTATGTATTTTAATGCATTGTGGTAGTACGTCATAATGGCATACCTATACAAAACTACTTTAATCCAAATCAAGTTTATATTTGTTCTGAATTAATAGAAGCAGTAAAAGCTATAGTTGATAAAAAGTCACCGACTGTGAAAGTAACTCTTGAGTTTTCTTTTCCGTTAAGCTGCTGCTTCTACAACTGTATAAATTTTCAAATGCTGACACTGCAGTCGCTGAGTCATATTCTATAGTCTTCTGATTTTTAATCATATTACTGTAGGGAATTTTTTTTTTAATATGATTCCTAGAATTCTGTTGTGCTGCTGGGAGATGTGTATGAAAGCACCATTTGTAAAAATTTCATTAAAAGGGGAAAGTATGACAGCCATGCAGTGGAGGGATGTCAGAACTAGTCCATGTTGTTATTAAGAACAGAGGAACAATATTAAAGACAAAGTTTTGAGGAGTAACCCAACCAAATATTTGAGGGAAAATCAGAGATATAGAAATCATTTAAAAAAATGTATCTATTTTTTCTTCTATTAGCTAACAGAAAGAAGTATTTTACTGCCAGCTCCACACCCCCCCCCCTCCGCCCTTTGTATCTCCCTGATCTCCCTGAAGTAAGATAGCATAAATTGGATTGGTAAAGAAGAGGAGGTGATTCCCGTAACTGACAGGGCAATAGGGAAGCTAAGTTATACAGACGTATAAAGTAAGTACTGTATCATAGTTTTAGGCAATACAAAATATGAATTACATAACTAGTGCATAATAAATACACACGAGAATTCAGAATGGTTCTAGATACACATATGAGCATGTTTACAAACCAAATTGTAGATATGAATGTGGAAGAGCACTAGTGGTACGTGATCGAGGGAAATTACAACACCGTAATGGTAAGAAAATATCTCTGTATTAGTTTATACTGTCTACTTCATACCTTATTTCCATTAGAAAGTTGTGAAATATGCAATTGCTGTCAAAAAATAGTTTTTTAGAGTACTGTAATTTGAAGGACTTTATATCATATCGTAGAGTGAACTTCAGATCGTGAAACCAATGCTTGAATGACCAACTAGGAAGGAAGAATCCCAGAGTCTGTCCTTTGGTTGTGGGGCTTTATTTCACCTCCCTGCATGCTTTGCAGTCCATGCCTGCATGGTTTTGCTAGTGAAGCAGATTCACCTAAGAATGGACAGCTTCCGGTGTGAAGGACATTTCATTAAGAATATTGATGAAGCAGTGTCACTGAATACAATATGTTTGAATTACAAGTTGCTTGCAGTACAGTTTGTCTTTATAATATTGCATTAAATATTATCATTCTTTTCCATTTATCTGTAGGAGCTGGAAAATATCATTTCTCAAATGATGCATGTTGCAGAATACCTTGAATGGGATGTTACTGAACTGAGTCCAGTAAGTATCCATTTTATCAGAAGCTTTTGGTGTTGTAGAGGTGGCTTTTAATCAGAAACATACTTCAAGTCAACATGTGATTCTATATATTAGTAAGATAGAAATAATAATAGTCTGTGCTCCACTATGACACTGTCAATTAGCACTTTTACGAGTCTTTTTCTAATTAAGTCTGTTCTGTGAAAAATTCTTGCTGCAGTGTAATGCTTTTCTTCAGAGTATGTAGTAATTAACATAACACAACTGATTTGTCTCTGGAAATTTCTGAAAAGTAACGGCCTCTTATTTGTGTTGTACATAGTAAGTACACAAGGGGGCACAACTTGGTTTGGAAACTGTAGGTGATAATAAAATGTAAATAGGAATATGACACTTCATTTTCTGAACTGTCAGTACTCATTTTACTACATGTGCCATACAACTAAAGTTTTCCTTACTTTTTGCATGCGGGTGAGGGAACTGGAGATCTGCACATGTTCTAACAAGAAGTTGCCATATTAGAATACGGAATTTATGACATTTTTCATTAAACTGTGTAGATCCTTCATGAAATGATGGAAGAAATTGACTATGATCATGATGGCACTGTTTCTCTAGAAGAGTGGATCCAAGGAGGAATGACAACAATCCCTCTCTTGGTCCTCCTTGGGTTAGAGAATGTAAGTATTAACGTAAACGTGTCAAGTTTCTGCTTGCATGTCAGCTGTGGCCATCAGGTTAGTTTCTCTGTGGCCTATATGAAGAATAGCTTTTCTTTGGTTTTCTTTACGATGGCTGAATGACATGTGAAGAACAGAGTGCATCTTCAAAGTCAGAGGTACATTAACATGTTTGAAGCAGTACCAAATGAGCCAGCTCTGGAGCTGGAAGCTGTAAGCCTGCTGTAGGTGACCCTGCTTCGGCAGGAGGGTTGGACTAGATGACCCACAAAGGTCCCTTCCAACCCCTACTATTCTGTGATTCTGTGATTCTGTGAAAAAGCTGATTGATTTGTACTGTTAACAGCATATTCTTAATTTCTAGCTGCAGTAGTGTCTCTTGAGAAAGTTTTACTGCCCGTGTATGTGTTACAGATGGCTTGGTGCAGTGTTTAGGCCTCTCAGCATGGTGCTGTGTTGTGTGGCCTAACCATACCGAGTCACAGAACAATCTATGTTGGAAGGAACTTCTGGAGATCATCTGGTCCAGCCAGGCAGGGCCACAGATTGAGTTATCTAGGGTCCTGTCAAGCGCAGTCCCGAATAATTCCAGTGAGATGGATTCCACCAGTTTCTGTGGGCAGTCTCTCCCAGTGTTAATTGTTCTCAAGGGAGAGTGCTTTTTTGCTTAGGTGCAGATGGAATTTCTTCTGCAGCAGTTATTGCCTGTTGGCTCTTGTCCCATCGTAATACATCCCTGTGAAGATAGTTCTTTCGTCTCTGTAACTACCTTAATAAACTCTACTAAATAGCAATATCAAAGAGAACACTTACACCAAAGGATGAAGTGTTCTGCAAGAAGAGCTTATGTCCTGCACATTTATAACTTCACATTAAAGATAAGACAGATGTAATATGATCAGTTTTATACCAGTTCAACACAGCTGTTTTAACACTGGCATGTTGCCAGTGCCACCTGCTGTCCTGTATTTGAACTAATTTTGAGCACATATATCTTAGCATATGTTTCAAATGCTTTTCTGTTATTTGAGAGAAAACATTTCTATTTAGTTTTTTTTCTGAAGTCCTTTTCAGATATTGAGGTGAAATAATAAATAATATTTACTTTCCCCATATACTGCTGCAGCTGGAACTAAACCTAGAGTGCGATAGCTGCTCTATGGTCTTATATTTGGACAAACAATGGTCAGACTGAGAATTTCCGTAGGGAAATAAGCAACAAAACAGTGCATTTAGAATAAGATCTAAAATTCTTGCAAAATCTTGTTAATCAAATTACCAGCTAAATCTCTGAATTAAGGGTAACTTTCAGTACATTTGGGTCACTGTAAGTATGAATTCCCTAATTCTGTATGTGTGACTGAGTAACAAAAATGTTAAATTACTTCCCTGTCATCAAACAACAGATCTTTGTCAGGCTGAATTCCATTATTTCCACAGAATTACTCTAAACAAAGGGCAGCAAGTGCTCTCAAGCAATCAGTATAGCAGATAACTGGTAGTCGTTTTCAGTACAAATTTTTCTTTTGTGACAGGTAGTGTAGATATTCTGGGAGTATTTTTTAGTGTCTACACTTCATTCTTTCTAAATTTAAAACTCCTTAAATTCCGTGAAAAATTAATGCAGATCCTTCTGTAGAGGTTTATTTTCATATTAAAGCAATATCTATTAGAAAGAAGCTATGTAAATGTTATCAGACATTTTGTCATTCTGATGAGTTTTACTACTTGTTAGATAATTTATCTTGCTGTGCGTGGCTTTACTACAGAAATAATGAAAAATACGTAAACAGTGATCAAAATTCTGTAGCCTGCTATCAACATGGGTCAGTGATTCTGTCATCAAGAGTGTTCCCAGTACTTTATATGTTGAAAAGACATAAATGTACAGTTGGGAAAAAATATTATAATGGTTTGCAATGTATCATTTTGATCAATAAGCATAGTTTTATTAGTTGAAAGTTGGCATAAAATGGATGGGGTGGCTTTTAATTTTTTTTTAATATTTTACTTTACTTTGCTTGAAGTCCATTACCTACAGAACTGTACAAGCTGAATTGCTAGTCACTTGCTAATGATTTACTAGGAAAAGATGCCAGTCTCTAAAAGGGCTCTGATTTTTCTTTTCATATTCGAAAGCGCTCTTGATTTCTTAAACCATTCTTATAATATGTAGAAAGAAGCCAGATTTTTAAATTTTCCATCAAACCAGCAAGAAGTTACTACTTCTGTCTGTACACAGTTCTAAATGATTAAATCTATTTTAGGACGTTGAAAAGTTAAATCAAGAAAGTTTAAACTCTAATGCGTGTTTATTGGTACTTTGTGTAAACTGATAGAATGATTTTGATGGTGTTACAGCATCTAATGTATTACTCAAGCTCTTCATTCCAGTGCATCATTCCCATTAGTGGAATGCTGTTATTTCTTTTTACATGCTGTTGTTAGATTTTGCAAACCCAGCTTCTCAGTACTCTGCTTGTTAGCTGTCTTTCTCTCTCCTTTTAGTTATGATGATGAAAAGTAAAGTAAGAGTCTTTTGGGCACAGTAATCGAATAATAAAGTTCTGATATCTTAAAGTTTTCCACAGGCTGATTAGTATGTGAAAATAAAGGGAGTAACCTACTGGCTTATGCTGCTTAGACATGTCCAGGCTGCCTTCACATGTTGAAAATAAGCAAAAAAAACCTCAAAAAACAAAACAACCACACAATTTTCTCACCTTCTTCTAACATTATCCAGCTACGCTTTGGCTCTGTGCTGAACTCAGGCAATGATGAAATTTTAAATCCAAGAGATCAATTTCAGAGCTTGTCTAGTATGATAGTGACAAAGGATTTTTTTTTTTAAATATGATACCAGTGAAGTTTTTAATTTGTTTTGGGTTGGGGTCCATTAATTTTCTCTAATATAGTTGACTCTTGTATAGAGCTTGTACAAACAATACAAGATTCTGGGTGTAAATTATTACGTCAGTATCAGTGAAGCAATGATGATTTATTTCAGCTGAAGATTTGTCATAGTACCTGCAGAATTCATTTACATTGTGTGTACTTAATCTTTAGTTGCCTTTAAGAGCTGTATAGAAAGGTATCATGTATATCGTGTAAAAGTTTTATATTACATGTAAAGCCTTTCAATCAGTTTTTATTACATACTATATTATATGCTTTAGTTACAATAATCCCCCAAAAACCAAAGAAGCATTGAAGTATGGAACTATATTGTACAAAAATGGAAGAATAAACAAGTTAGTGTTTATAAACAATGGGGTTGAGATAGCCTAATCTCTCATAGGTTTGTGATCTTTGCCCTCTGATGTTATTAGTAATCCCGTGCGGAGCAAGACAGGAGTATTAGGTTGTTATTACAAATATTAGCCACTCAAGTGTTGCCAAATTAAAAAAACTCACAAGGAAATCTGCCTGATTTTGCTTCTGATCTCTCTCTCTCTGACCCCCACCCCTCCCCCCTTTTTCTAGACTTTCATGAAACTTCCAGTGCCCTCACAAATTTAGTTGAGATTACTAAATTAGTTTCAAAGTTGCTGGAGCAGTTTAGAGTCATGGAGTTAAAGGGACAAAGAGCATAATTAAGTCTCAGTTCTCCGGTTTGTTTTATCTTACTGGGTTTTATGCTTTCTATTTCCTCCTAAAACTTGAGTTTAGAGTTGCTTTGAAGGTGGAACTCGGAAATAGAGTTTTCTCTCTGGGAATGTTCCAAGATAGAAACAGTGTATTCTTATTTTGGTACTTTTCAAGGCAATTAGTGTGCTAAACAAACAATTTCAGTACAAGATAAGGAATTAAAAAAAGACTTAATTGGTTCATATTCTGTAGGGGTGCTGTGATACACATACTGTTTGGAAGATTATTTTGGAGGAAAAGACGTTGGAATTGTATAATCAATTTGTACTTGAATGACTACACTTTTCCCACTTAGCAGTGGCTGAATGTGTTCTGTACTGCACGTACTGAAACCTTTGTCTTTAAGACCCATATAGTTCTTACTATGAGGTTTAGTTGTGCTGGTTTCATGGAAGTTATTCCAAGAAATTATCTCCTGAAAAGTGAGATTTTCATGAAGGAAAAAAAAAGAATTAGATAACTGTAGAGAAAATTGTTATTTATGTGGTGCAATTTTTAATAATAGATGTATGAGGTAGAGTTTTTTGCGTGTCACGCTTCAGTCTGCAATTTTCACAGTCCTCGTCAATTTTCCAAATTTGTTGTTGCTTCTTAAAGCAATAGAGATATCCCTGCGTTACTCCGTCTGGTTGATAATTACACTTACAGGAAGTGGCCTATTGCACACTAGTGATGACTAGGCTATTTATTCTATTCCTCCACAGTAGAAACCTGCAAAGTTTCTGATCTTTTTATTTCATTCTGCATTAATTTAAGTACATCAGCATTGTCAGTGAAATTTGAAAGTTACCCTGTTGACTCTTCTAGCATTGCTGAATCTGGACACAAAAAGCCACTGAATGCCGGTTTGCTCCTAAGGGTTTTTGTCAGCCGTGAACATTGTACTTTGCCCTTCACTAGGAGTTCCTCACTTGTACAATATTATTCCACCCTGTTCTGATAAAAGCACTCGATTTCTCTTCTAAAGGGATTCCATGCCAGATGTTTTGGTCTCACTTCTCTCGTAACGGATCATTACTACCATCTCTGTCAGTGATTGTACAAGAAGTAGGTATAAACTGCAAGCTCACAAGTGCTAATGTTTAAAAAAATCTCATGTTTTTGGAGTGGAAAGTGTTTTGTTCCCTCTTCAGTGGCCACTAGATGTCAACGTTGCACTGTACAATTGCTTAAAAGCTGGCCTAAGATGAGAGAGAAGTTCAACAGCTAAATGCTTCGTAAAGTCATCAGTAATCTGAAACCAGGCCACTATGCCTTTCTTTTAAGTCACGAATTGTAATTTTCAACCCATTTCACCCTTTAAATCAAGGTGAATCTGTATGAGACAAACATATTTGCGTTGAAGTGTGACCATGCTTCAATGAAATCAGAAGGAAATACTCTTACAATTTAATTTGGGTCTTCAAGCAGCAAGTACTGTACTATTGCACTCAAAGAATTTACGAGGTAACTCTTTTTTATTAAATATGAGATGGAATACTGGAGTGTGAATCCACACTTGGGAAGTACTGCTTTTTGCATTGTGTATTAAACTAGTGTTGGCTTACTTTTTGAGCTCTGAGTATGTGCGAGTGGAACCAAACGGGACTTGCAAACATTTGCAAGTCTGGTGTGGGATCTGTTGCACCCTGAGGAGTCCCTCTCAGGCTGAAGTCTGAAACGACTGTTTAATACCTAGATGGTTTTGTGGAGTTGTCGTTCTTTCATTCAGCGAGGAATGAGGGCGATCTGGCCTTTTGCTGTCCCCAGTGATATTTTTAGAAGTCCTGTCTGAAGTTTGGCGGGTGAGTTTTCTAAAAGGCCGAAGTGCCAGTGAGCCGTATGCTATTTCCATATGGACAGAGGGCAAACCCAAGCCCCTGCTAGAAGAAGCTGTAGGTTGTCCTCTTTGTGCCAGCTCCTTGCCAGCTGGGAAAGCAGCTGCACCCGGAGAGGTTTCACCAGTGTCGCCCCGTGGTGGTGCCAGGAGAGGGGGTTACACTTATGCTTGGTGAGACTCTGGAGCCCAAGCGAGCTGCTGAAAAAACACTCCTCTCTCTTCTTGACAGAGCTGTCTGCTTTTATTCTGTGCTAGCTCCCACTGCTTTGGAGGGAGTTTGCAAATGCCTTTCCTTACT